CCAAATCTCGGCAATCCAAGCCGGCCCTCGAGTTTTGAGGTTAAACCGATGACGCTTATCACGACATCGCGTGCTGTTTCCCTGTGTGAGCCACGCCTGACGGCAACCCTGACCGTAGCCCGAACCAAGGTCAATCACACTGGTTCCCTGAGTGAAACCAACCAGACGACGGCACCCGGTATCATCACGGTCCCCCCCGACCAATCAACCGCGACCACGTATTCCCTCATCAGCCAGCCGGCCAACCATTACACACCCAACCCACTGTAAGTGTTAGTTAGGAAATAAAAAGGATTAAAGTGAATTTGTGTGTCGTTTAGTCAAGGAAAGATTGCACTCTTGAATAGCGATTCCATGACAAAAGCCGACCCTGAGAGCAAGATGCCTCAAGCTCGAGCTAGCCAGTAAAAGAGGTGGATGTAGCCCACCCCAGATGACCTCCGTGGCTAGACCAGAGGTTATGGGACCAAAAATTCCATATTCCGGTTCGGTGTCTTGTGCAAAGTTTTAGAAAATATCAAATCAAGAAAGTTTGCTGAAGACACTATAGGTGGCTATTTCTTCATCTCATTGAAATATGGAACGATTTTGGTGGAAAACCTCCTAATAAAAGTTCCTACTTACTAATTAATTTCTTTAAACTTCTACTAGTTTGAAATATTCTACTAAATTGTTCAAAACATTAATACACATAAGCTTGATGAATATCATAGCACACTAGATTTTTGCGATGATTTGTCTTTATTTGCTGGTAATCAGTTAATCATAGAAGTTAGAACTAATATGTTTGAGCTTTAAATTCAAGTCAAGATCTCTGGGACCTTCATGTTTTTTGGAAGATTTGATAAAGGCCAACAATTCATCAGCTGAAATCTCTGAAACTTCGGGAAGTTGTTGGGAATAAAATAGAGGTTGGCTCAAGGGGTGGTCAGTGTGGCGCAGCTGTGCCGGCAGTTCCGAAAAGCCATTGAACTGACTTTTGTTTGCTTGAATAATCACGGGACTAACATCAATTTTTTTTCTTCATTTTTGTGATTTTTAGCCGTAAGCTAGTTCATCACATAATGACATCAAATGTTTCCAATGTGGGATTTCACAAATTTGACAGTATCCTCTTAACTGGTCTATAAATGTATGGCCCATAACAAACTTGAACAACACATACGAACTTTGCGGCTGCATTGCATATTTTACAGCTGTAGCGTACACCGCATGTGTATGTTTTGTGTTGGTTGTAAGTATGTGGGTGAAAAATAGCAGACAACAGAAAAATACTGGCTTAGCAGCCCCTACACGGCAAGAAAAAAAATACTCAAAATTAAGTTAAAAAAAACTCAACGTTGGGTTCTATCATTTGAGGTCCGCCGTTGAGTAAATCAGAAAAGCGGCGTTGGTTAAAATTTACTCAACTATTGAGTAATAATAAATAAACTCAAATATAAGTTTATTTTAATTGAGGTTGCTCTTATGCGACTTTAACCATTTCATTTTCACAAGCGTTGATAGACGAGTGGTCAACAAACGGGCCCCGTAAGCTCAACGTCCATGGTTCGGTTTCAGCCTGCTCCGTTTTATTATTTTTTTTGTCAACTTCAGGATTACTCAAAATTGAGTTTTCTTATTTAACTTAATTTTACCTAGCCCCACGGAAGCCACGTGATGAGTGAAAGGAACTCAATTTTGGGTACTTTTTTCTTACCGTGTAGTAAATAATGCCTTGAATGGCAACCCGGTATTTTGACAGCTCTTGTTTTTGTATTGTTTTTCGAAACCTTAGATGACCTGAGATGCCTAAGATGGAGCAGGTAAAACATTTCCGTTCCGATATACGGACCTTGCGGGTAGATTTAGCCAAGACGGTACTGTTGTTGTTGATGCTGTTCCTTCTGCTGTTCGAATTTCAGTTGCTCCTGAAATCTCATGCTGGTAGACGCTGATGCTTTATTTACATTATGCTGGTGAGCTTTTTGGCTAGCAGCTGGACCATTAGCGCTAGTGAAATAGCAAGTGTAAACACCCCATAAAGCAGAAGCCGCAAGAAAAGCAACAGCATTGGAAGCAGTCGCAGCCGTGGGAACTGCATCGATGATTCGTGTATCGTATAGATACTATAGATTCCATAGATAAGCGGAGGCACAAAAAGTTGTTTTGGCAACCATGAAAAATAAACGATCTTACTGGCATCCGTGAAAAAAGTTCATGCCATCATAGAGCTCTTCGTTGGGCAGTTTGGTTTTGTTTCGTGCGCAAAAGTTCAAAATGAAGTGCAAAGCAAATCTTTGCAACAATGAACCGAGGAATGCTTTGCTTTATCATTCGTTCTTCCGCTGTCCGCGAAATAAATCGGAATGTGGAGTGTGGAAAGCGTTTTGTGCTCATAATACACACTTAGATTTTTTTACAGAAATCTGTAAAATTTTACCGAAATCTCAAAAACTGAACGTTTGGTAAACAGTTTCGCAGATTTCCTGTAATTTTTTACAAATATCTGTGAATTTTTCACAGATATCTGTAAATAATTACAGGTAAACTGTAAAATTGTTTACCGAACGTTCAGCTGTTGAGATTTCGGTAAAATTTTACTGAAATCTGTAAAATAATCTTAGTGTGTATTATAATATTTCTCCCCCAAACAACACCATGATGAAGTCATGCTCGTTTGGCTACACTAACTGACAGTTCGTTTGGCTACATTATACTTTGCCTCCGCTTATCTATGGAATCTATAGTATCTATAGTGTATCCATGGCCGAGGCTGCAAACCTCGGTCCGGTCACGGCACCGCTGTCAGCTGTTCTTTGTCTTCTGTTCATCTAATGAACGGATAGAGCCCAGATAGGAGGAAACGTGGACGGGACTGCCATCACCGGAGTCTGTGTAATGATTTTGATAACGGAGCTGGAGGATATCATGAACCCAAGAGGGATGAGAACTTTGGGTGATGCATTTTTCCCGGTATGTTGGGATTGTGGATTAACCTGATTTCTTCATGCTGCGTGGTTGGAATGATTGTACGCAGTCCGGTGTGAAATGATTTTTTTCGCCGAGATTCCAACAGCCGAGAAGTTTTGCAATTTATTTGTTAGCTGAGATTTAGTAAAACAATTGCCAACCTAACAAACAATTTGAGTTGCTTAACAACTGAATAAGCCATTTTTTAGCTGAAGAAGCTTATTTTGCCTGAATAAACTTCTATTAAACATTCCATGTTTGTTCAGAAGACTCAGCTAACAAATAACACTTTGTTGAGATATCATCTAACAAACAGATATTTTGCAGAGATATCAGCAAAAGTAAATGCCGAGGTAATCGGCTATTAAAGATCTAACTGAGCTAGATTAAGTGTGTACTTCTTCGGACAGGCATCAGGCTGACAATTCGATTTAGGAGAATCCATGGCGAGACTTGGTGGAGATTCGCGATTGTGGTTTGAAAATATTGGATTGTCTTGTGGCAGCATCAATAACAAATTTTGACACGTACAGACTGCGCTGGCGCAGAAAAAGTTCAGTGTTGCCAGCTTAAATATTTACAGATCAGAAAAATTGCCAAACAGTACCAATGACTGTGCCCCCGGGACGGGACTTGGCAATCGAGCTTCTCACTCTTCTTAATGTTTTTGAAGAATGCCCTTTGGAAAGTTGTGCGTGGTGTTTGACAGAGTTGACCAATGATGCCAGAAATGTAAAATGTTTTTTTTCTATTTTAATTTGGATTTTAATCGGAGCTTCTACCGCAGTCTAGTAGCTTGTACATCGATTTTACTCAACACAATAAAACAAGCATAAACAAACAACAATATCCATCGCTTAAAACACACAGTACACTCTATTTTTCAACTTTCCTTTCACAAATACAAACAATTAACAACGCCATTGACGTCAACATTGATTCCGGCATCACGGCCAGCCAGATTGATGTGATCCCTCTTCTTCTTCTTCTTCTTCTTCTTCTTCTTCTTCTTCTTCGCATTTCAAGCTTATTGCATATCGCATATTAGCTTATTGCGTGCTCTCAACTTAGTGTTCTAGATGCACTTCCACAGTAATTAATTGAGAGCTTTCGATGCCTGTACCATTTTTGCATTGGTATAATTGGGTGGCAAGTCCAATCATACTTCTATGCCCAGGGAAGTCGAGAAAATTTCCAACCTGAAAAATTCCTAGACCGGACCGGGAATCGAACCCAGCCACCTCCAGCATGGTCTTGCTTTGTAGCTGCGCCTTTACCGACTGAGCTAAGGGAGGCCCCATTATGCGATCCCTCTGTCCTTTTTATTCCACGATTGCTACTGTCAAATCGACCAATCAGAAACTGGCTAGGATTTGACAGCAAATAGGCTCGAAATCGCTACCCGATTGTCTAGTCCCGTCCCAGACTGTGCTCAGATGTGCCTAAGCTTGTTATGGCACACTGTGTGGAGTGACCATTTTCAGCAACAGCAGCCTCATGTGGACTAATTATGCTTTGTCCGAGATTATGGCAGCTCACTAATAGCGAATTCGTTTATTATCGGGGTTAACACCAGTTCCAACCCAGTGCGAAACCGAACTTTTTGTCAGTGTGAACCTCAACCTGAGCTAGGTTTTAAAAACAAACGAGCAAACTGACGTTTGTCAGAAAACAAGCAGACCCAATCTTGATACCCGATCCAGGTTGGAACTGAATAATAAACGAATTCGCTATAAGTGTTGGCCAATCACAGCAACCTTCTCAACAGGAGTTATCAGATGAAACACTAAATCATCGCGACGATTCAGTAGAACCAATGTGGGTCTGCGCTTATTTTTAAGATTCTGGTTAGCCTCCAGAAAAATTTTGCACAATCTCTGGGAGAAAACAGATCTTATTGGCAAAATCGGTATTTCTGAGATCCACCATCCTGACCTGAACGATCTTTGTTAATCGATTACAATTGGCTTACAAGTTACACAGACCAGTACGCTGGTACTGCCTACGAATGGTGTTACCGAAGTCTTTAGTAGAACTATCAAGGTTCAGAGTGTTACTCACCTGTCTGGATACTGGCACGTGTTGTTCCCAGGCCCGGGATATTGGTAGGCGTTAATTTCGGGCTTCAGAGGGCTTTCAGTTCTGACGGCAATGTCGATGTTTCGTTCATTGAGAAACTCAACGAACTCGATGTTCTTGCTCTTGAGCGAGCAAGCGTTCCAATTTGCTATTATGATGGTTTCACGGTCCATACTTGTTGATGAGGGAAACGGCATCATGAATCTGTTCTGTTACAAGTTCCGCTGATGTCTGTGTTCTCGTTCGTTTGCGGAGGTGGTGCAGCGGTTGTTGGACGGATCAATGTAGCAGTACCAGCAGCAAAATAGTTGTTGAGTGGAAGTGACAGTAGCACCGGAATTTGGCACCGTTGAGGGATGGCAGGAAAGTTCTGCCCGTTGTATTCCGGCACCCTTCTGCGACTAGGTTGATGCTGGATAGAGGCTTTATTGTGGATATCAATGAATTCCGCTCGCTTCGGGCATGCCTTGCTGGTTGCCCAATGTGCTGCACCACAATTGGCACATTTAGGTCTGCGTTCTCCATTAGCTCGCAGGCATCAGGTGCGTGCAGCTTGCCATAATACTCTCTCTGTTTCCATGTCGAGAAGGCCACGCAGGACCATCTACTCCACGGTTTGCTGCTTCAGCAACGTCTCGACGGCCTTGTAGTGATTGATGCCTTCAGTGCACAGGCGCATGGTGCACTTGAGACCTTTACCGATGTAAAAGTCGATTTTTTCCCGCAAGCCATCCGGGAATCCTTTTACGAAGAACGGTGAAACTTTCTCCTTTCTTTTCCACCTTCGGTGCATCGCCTTTTTCCAGGATGGCGTAACGATTGTTCGTCAACAGCTTCTTCGATGCCAATTGTGCACTGGCGGTGTCCGATCGGGATTGTTTCTCGGCCGGAATAGCGATCACGTCAACACGCGGCGGTTTCCCCAAGCTGGGGTCGTGCGATGCTTCACCGAACACCGCGAACACTATCGCAACGAACTTGCGTACAACTCGAGAGAGCGAGTAAAAAGCCGAACTGTACTGCTTGACGGTCAAGCAGAGAATGATGATGGATTATTGGTCTTTTACATTCAGTCGCCCTGTAGGGGAAATGGCTCTCATATAGGCCTATGGATCTAAGCTTGGGCCCATCGCTAAAAATCAGCTATTTATCAATTTTATCTAAATGAACACGTCATTGGGACGGTACCTATAGACATTTCTGGAAAAAGTCGATTGCTGAATGGGCTCAAATTAGGGGCATTTAGGCCGACACTAAATCGATTTATCCTATATGCTTTTTACCGAAAGCTTGGAATTTCCCGAGTCAGTTACTGGAAAATCACAAAATCACTGTTTGTTTGGACAAAAATAGGCATTCTCTAAAAGTAATCAAAGTGTGTACAACATATTTAATACATATTATTAATAATTGTATGGCACATCGTGGTAACTAGGTTATCGCTCTGACATATTGACTATTTTAAAATTCGGCTATGATCTGACTAATTGAAGGATTAATTTTCAAAAAGACTTATCTGTTTTTGTAAACGAGTTCAAGATTAGCTCTACTACGTAAACTTACATCACCATCATTTTGGGAAACTTTAACCTATCTGTTTTGCCAGGGGAAGCAGGAAATCCCATAACCCATGTGTCAGTTATTCGTTTACCGGCAGTGATGGTGGTGTTAGTTTACCTGGGCAAGCTAAGAGTTTCCACAAATTGACGTTTAAATATTTATCACGATCGTCGATACGTTCTTTTGAAAATTCATCCTTGAAACAATTTCCAATTCTAGAGGCTCAGAAAAACTCCTTTTTCTATAATCCACGGCAGAAACTTGTTTACTCGCGTATATACCCCGGCGTAGTGCTCGCTTCCACAGCCTTGACCAGTTGATACGATCGCAACGAGATAATTCTGATCATCCTCCTTCAATACCATCGGACCTCCGGAATCTCCCTGGCACGTGTCGGTAGCTGTACCATTTTCGTTTTTATCTCCCAGTGCGCACATGTGAGTGTCCTGCAGTTGGATGCGTTTTGACAACCCTGCATTAAACCTTGCTTGACAGATCGAACGCGGCACTGGGTGAACGGTTCCTTTGAGGAGCACACCGGACAATTCTTCTGCGAATGATGGATGATGATTAATTTAATCAATTCGCAAACGAAAATCAAAACATGCATTACCGTCATTTCCTATTCCCCAACCCATCACGGTTAAATCCACCGATTCGGATAGTTCTTCCGGGTTGGTGTAAACACATATTGGTTTGATCTGATCATTTAGTGCAATGTCCTTTACCAATTTAACTATACCGATGTCGTTCTGCCGTTTCTTATTCTCTTCATGCACGTAAACTGTGTCAATTAAATACGAATCCGCTCCTGCATCGGTTGCATCATTGGTTCCCAGTTTGACTGCGTAGGGTATTAAATCGGTTTTAATGCAATGTGCAGCGGTCAACAGAAAACGTGTGGATAGCAGAGCAGCGCCACAGCGATGATGGGATAAGTCTTCATCACCAACTTCATATCCAGCGTTAATGTACGTTATCAGTGCCATAAACGGAAACTCGCCAACGTCCGCCGTGTGGACATCTCCCACGACGTGATCGGATATTCTTCTCATAGTAGGACGAATCCCTTCGCACTGCCGACGGACCACATCGCAGCAAATGATGGGCTCATTCCCGAAGAAGCCACAAATAGTTCTCCGATCAGAATACTTTCTACCGCATTCGCTGAACCTCTGACATTGGCCAACTCCACCACTGGTCAGCGTGCACGGATCTCCGTCTGAAATGGGTAATGGGACATACATTTAGAGATCCCAAAGCTATGTAGCCAGTACTTTGTGTAGGGAAAAGTTTGACGATAGAAGGAACGGCCTGGCAAACGATTGGTCGATCAAAGTATTGGTATTTAGGGGAACGGGTGGTAAGGAATTCATTGGAATTGGATAAACTCAACACCCAATGACACGGCTTCGGACATCGGTATTCTAGTTTAATGTATTCAAGCTATGGCAGAAGACCGTTGTTAACACATAACAAGCCAAACCACTGACTGTAAAGATCGGTTTAAAGGGTGATACGGTCAAAATTTGGTCAATATCAACTTGACGTATTTCTTTCAATTTTGCATTTAAAAAACCTGAACACCCCTCATTTTGAAGGTGTGTGTGTGTGTAGAATGTTGCTCCTATTTTGATTTTGGAATTCACTCTTCAGTTGTCAAAATGCCGTCCAAGCAAGAAGAGCAGCGTATCAAAATTTTGCTCGCGCATCGCGAAAATTCGAGCTACTCGCACGCAAAGTTGGCAAAATCGCTAAAAGTTGCCAAATCAACCGTTACAAATGTAATTAAAGTGTTTGGGGAACGTTTGTCGACAGCCAGGAAGTCTGGATCGGGGGGAAATCGAAAACCGGAAGCCGCTGAGACGACAAAGAGAGTTGCCGGTAGTTTCAAGCGAAACCCTAACCTCTCTCTCCGAGATGCCGCAAATAAGCTGGGTGTATCGTCTACAACCATGCATCGAGCCAAAAAACGAGCCGGACTATCGACTTACAAGAAGGTAGTGACTCCAAATCGCGATGATAAACAAAATACGACGGCCAAAGCGCGATCCCGGAGGCTGTACACGACGATGCTGACGAAGTTTGACTGCGTGGTAATGGACGACGAAACCTACGTCAAAGCCGACTACAAGCAGCTTCCGGGACAGGAGTTTTATACGGCAAAAGGAAGGGGAAAGGTAGCAGATGTTTTCAAGCACATGAAACTGTCAAAGTTCGCAAAGAAATATCTGGTTTGGCAAGCCATCTGTACCTGTGGCTTGAAAAGCAGCATTTTCATAGCTTCCGGGACTGTCAACCAAGAAATTTACGTGAAAGAGTGTTTGAATAAACGTCTGCTGCCTTTCCTGAAGAAACACGGTTGTTCCGTACTGTTTTGACCGGATTTGGCATCTTGCCATTACGGTAAAAAGGCTATGGAGTGGTACGCCGCCAACAACGTGCAGGTGGTTCCAAAGGACAAGAACCCTCCCAACACGCCAGAGCTCCGCCCAATTGAGAAATACTGGGCTATTGTCAAGCGGAACCTAAAGAAGACCAAAAAAACTGCTAAGGGCGAGCAGCAATTCAAGGCAAACTGGCTTTCTGCGGCGAAGAAGGTGGACAAGGTGGCTGTACAAAATCTGATGGCAGGGGTCAAGCGTAAGGCCCGGCAATTCGGATTTGGAAAAGCGGAAGCCTAACTGAATATTTTTCCTGAATTTTATACTAATTGAACTTGAAAAAGAAATTTAATTTGATTTTTTAAATAAACGATTTCACCGATTTTCACGGGTTTTCCCTTGACCAAATTTTGACCGATCACCCTTTATGCCTGAAGTGGACCCTACACGATTGCTTTTATTGACAATAATCGTATTGTCAATACATTCTATATTGACGTCAATATATCGATATTGACAATATTTTTGTATTCATCAATATTATTGTCAATAATTCCCCTTCGCGTCAATATATTGATACGTGTGGGGTTCGCTTGACTCTTTCGATATACTCACTACTGCGTTGGAAAGCCGTTCCGACGAGGAGCTCACCATGGAACTGGTGAAACGTAAATTGCTGGATGATGCGTGCTGGTGGCGACGAGAAGGTTGTGTGCCACAACTGTCATAAACCCGGACACATGAAGCGAGAATGCCCAGCGGCAAAAGCTGGTGACGGAAGAGCAAGTAGCAATTCGAAGCCGAAGAAAAGTCAAGGTTCAAAAGCGAAGCTTGGCTAGGCGAACCCGTTTGCGTTTATGGCTACTATTTACGACCGAAAATAAATCGAAGGTATGGATCGTCGATTCTCGAGCAACGTCCTGCAACCGTTCGTTTTTCGATGAGCTAAAGCCAAGCTCGGGGATTTCCATCACGCTGGCCGATGGAAACGAGACGTTGGTGAAAGGCATCGGATCTGGCAGCTTGTTTTGCCAAAACGAGAAAGGAGAACAGCAAGAAGTTATCCTGTCCGACGTGTACTGCGTGCCAAATTTGGAATCGAACCTGATTTCTGTCGAAAGACTGGTTGCCAAGGGAGCAGAGGTTGTTTTCTCTGGTTTCCGTGGTTGCGTCATCCAACGTAACGGAGTCGTAGCAGCCGTAGCGAAGAAAATTGGTGGGCTGTACCAGTTGAAGTTTGCGGAAGAGCGCGGCAGGAGAATTTCAGTGCTTCATTGCCGTCGCGTGTGTCGTGCAGTTAGTGAAAAAAAAAAGTGCCACCAAGTCCGTGTTGGAAGTGCGGATCGATGCACTAAACAAGGGACTGTGAGTACAAAGACCATTAGTGCGCTAAATGTATCCAATATGGACATAAAGAAGGTTACTGTGAAAGTGATCGAAAGTCCCCTCGGAAGCGAGACAAACGATAACAGTGACTGTAGATACGAAGACTGTCCAAGTCGCTGTGAACAATGTATGAGGGAGAAGAAAGTTTGTTCCGGTGTTTGTGAACAGTTATCGCTCAGCTTCTGAGACGTGTAGACGTTTTTCAAATACGCTTATCAGAGAGTCAGGCATTTTTTACAATTGTCCTTGTGTCGCCGGGCCACGTCGCGTGCAGTGTTTCCGCGATGAGGCGAGAAAACACCTTTCGAATAGATTATTCGAATCTCCCTCTGAAGCCATCGTACGAAAAAACCTACGTTTTTTGCCGTACGGTACTTGGTCTGAAGAGGGAAGATGTGAAGAGACTACAGTGTCATAGAGGCGAATCATGCGCGTTCGTCAAGGTCGCCGACCTAGCTTTGGCCCAACAAGTGGTCGATGAACACGACGAAAAACACGAAGTGGAATGCAGTGGAAAAAAAATACAAGCTCCGTATTACCATGGAAGATGGAAGTGTCGAAGTGCGTGTGTGGGATCTTCCCGAAGGTGTGTCGGAAGAGAGGATTCTCGAGTTCCTCAGTCGGTATGGCGAAGTGCTCTCAATCCGGGAGCTTATGTTTGGTGAAGGTCACGAGTACGGTAGCGTGCCGCTTGGAATCTGGTCTGTCCGCATGGTGGTAGAACGAAATATCGATTCGTGGGTCACTATCGACGGAGTGAAGGCATACATTGCCTACAAGGGTCAACTGCAGTCGTGCCGTCACTGCCACGAGCTGACACACACGGGTATTTCGTGTGTACAAAATAAAAAGCTGCTGGTCCAGAAGAGCTACGCTAATGTGGCAAAGCAAACGGGACCACAGCAGCAGCAGCAACAGCAACAGCTGCGAAAACCATCGACCCCGAAGCCGCCACGAAATAAACCAGCTGGCCCGAAGCCTGCTGCGCCACCACCGGTAACGTCGGAAACTTTTCCCGAATTGCCACCGTCGACAAGTGACAACGAACTGTTCGGCCAGAAAACTCACATCGGCCAACTCACCACGCCAACAGAGATGGTAGTACTATGCCAGAATGCGAGACCCCAACACACAACAAAACCCCAACCTCCAGCATCGTCGAGAACGCTCACCAAGGTGACCGATATCAATTCGGATTCGGTGGAGCTGTTCAAAAAGCCTGGTGGTGTACCTCCACGCAGTAAATCGAACGGCAATGAGACAGACGAGTCAAACACTTCCACGAGCAGCAGGCGAAGTCGAGGGCGACCTATCCTCAAAAAGCCCCGCCGCGATGACGAAGACGACGAGATGGTTGAGTAATACATTCCATAATGTCTCTCACATCCTACAACGTCGCTACCATGAACATCAACACCATCACGAGCCCGACGAAGCTTAACGCTTTGCGAGCCTTCGTCAACAGCCAAAACCTTGACATTGTGTGCCTGCAAGAGGTGGAGAACGAGCAGCTTTCTTTGCCAGGCTTTGTCGTTGTCGCAAATGTGGATCACGCAAGGAGGGGGACGGCGATCGCACTGAAGTCGCACATCCAGTATTCTCATGTCGAGAAAAGCTTGGACGGTCGGCTGATCGCTTTACGAGTGCAAGATGTCACTCTTGTCAACATCTATGCCCCGTCGGGCACTGCACATCGTGCTGCTCGGGAAATTTTTTTTAACGACACTCTTGCCTACTATCTCCGCAACCGCACCGAGCAAGTAATTCTAGTGGGCGATTTCAATTGCGTGCTTCGCCCAAGTGACTCGTCCAGCCCGAACACAAGTCCGTCACTCAGAACGGCCGTCCAGCAACTACAGCTTATCGACGTGTGGGAAAAACTGTACCCACGAGATGCTGGCTTCACCTTCGTCAGCAGAAATGCACGATCCCGTCTTGATCGTATTTACGTGAGCACCGGGCTTCGCGACCATCTACGAGCAGTGCATACTCACGTCTGCTCGTTCTCCGACCACAAAGCGCTGACACTCAGACTCTGCCTTCCCCACCTTGGACGTGAACACGGCCGAGGCTTCTGGTCCCTTCGCCCCCACCTGCTGACTGACGAAAATGTGGCGGATTTCCAATACCGGTGGCAATATTGGACCCGTCAGCGCCGAAACTACGCCTCCTGGATGGAATGGTGGCTGTCGTATGCTAAGCCCAAAATCAAATCTTTTTTCAAATGGAAATCGCGAGCTGCTTTCGACGAGTTCCATAATGAACGCAACTTCTCGCACATGTTTATGCGCATCAACGAGACATACGTGGCGGGAGAACCCATCTCCATCTTCCAACTGGGAGAACGGAGAAGAAAGCGAACCGTCATTACCCGGTTACAAACCATGCAGCACGATACCATTGATGATCCTCACGCGATCGAGGCGCACATGGTGAATTACTTTTCCCGCCT